CATCAGGGGTTCAACTGTAATTTTACGAAGACTTTTTTGGAAAAACAAAGGCCAAAAAAAAAAAAAAAAAAAGACTTTTCAGGTCTATGTCCAATCCCTCACTTTTTCTAGTTATATAAGGTTAAAATATTTTGCCTGTAATTTTTTTCCCTCATATCGAAATATAATATCGATATTGCCTGGACAGTGTAAAGTATCGTGATATGCATTTTAGCTCATATCACCCACCCCTAGTGGATGGCCTAATGGCTCTTGTAGTGACACCAACTCTAAAAGGGCATCATCGCACTAATGGACATTAACAAGCCATTGAAAAAGCAAAATTTTCAATCATGGGTATAATGTTCCGATATAACTATTGTTAGACAGGTGATACTATTATTATGTTTATGTTCAAAAAACATTTTTCATTAAACCCTTAGAAGCACACAATCAAGCTTTCAGAGTAGAATACCTTTCTGTAAACAAAGATAACAAAAACATACCTCACCAGACCCTGTCAAAGTATAGGCTATTCATTTCTTCATCATAATTAAGAACCATTTCCGTATCAGAAAAGATTACCACAACAGTGACAAGGGTTTGTAACACTGTAAAGGAATGAATATATGTTACTCTCATTCAAGATATAGGCCTACACAAAAACTATGCCAATGTTCTTGCCTGTGTGAATAAATGAGTGATTTAAACAGGTGGCAAATCAAAATTGATTATTAATAATGATGTTTCATAGTAAGCTGCAGAAAACGCACAATACATCTTTACTTCTGTTTAAGCTTTCAAAAGCTTAAAAGCACAAAGAAAGCACTTTTTTGTGCTTTTGAAAGCTTCGGTAGCCATTCACTTTTGAAGTACTGTATAAGTAAACAACTCAACATCCTAGTTTCAAGCATTGTTTTTATAACTCGCTTAGCTCCCATCAGTGTTCCTTTCAGACATGATTTTAGACCATGCATGTTCAAATAATTTACATTTCTATTTATAAATCCATTCTGTTTCTTTTTTCCATACTACTTCTCCTTTGTCTTTTCCATGGACAAAAAACAAAACACAAAAAACAAAAAGCAGAGCAAAACAAACACAAGGCAGTACTTTTCCACAGATGGAGCACGAGGGAAAAGCGCCTGGATGATGTTTGTCGTACATCTGTCACATCGGATGGCATCTTGGAAAAACTGTTGCCAAATACCTAAAAAGAGATAGTGGACTTGGCATAAATGTTGGGCAAATATGCAGCACTACCCAGATGTACACCCTGAGGGTAGTCAAGGTGGGTACAATACAAAAAAAAAAAAAAAACACACAACAGCTGTCGCAAACTCTTGTGAGAAGCAGAAAGCCGGAGGACTCTGTTTAGTGACTGGAGTGCTCTCTTTGCATGCAAACAACAGCCAGCACTCCTGCCAGAGCATTAGTATCACAAGTAAACAATCAGCATTCTTCCTAAAAAAGAACGGCAACACAATGAACAACCTAGCAATGGGAGCGGGCAACAGTTGAGAATGTTCAAATATTTCTCTTTTTTTTTTTCCCTTTTCTCTGTTTCTCCTGATTCTGGAGTAGCTCTAAGTAAAAAAAAAAGTTAATAGAGAAAACTATTTACATTGATGTTGGGACATACAACATAATTCCACAGCAGACGGATTGCGACATTTATAAAACAGATGCTTAAAAAAATCATACGATACAGAGCTTATGAAAGATTCTCTGATCATTTGCATAGGTCTGGAATCCTTAGGCAAGTCATTGGCAAAACAAAGGCGATGAGTTATGAAAAGGTCTTGAGTCACTTTTCAGCTGTCAGCCACTGGCAGTTGCAAAATTCAACCTAGGAAGCAGTTCTAACTCTCAACTCTGCTATCATTCTTGATTATTTAGAAGCAGAAAAAGTTTCATGTGTTTCTAACATAATAGATATTATGAATAATGGATATGTGAATGCATCAGCTTTCCAAGAAAATCAATCAAACCTGTTTCTATCTGAACAATACCAAGAAAAAAAGGACAATTATTTTAATTCATGGGAAAAAAATTGTCAATAAAATATTTAATGGACTACTTCCTGAGCAGTGGAGCAAGTGTTATTACTTAACGTGAGAATACAGATGTAATTCAAATACTGATTATTATGATTTATTGTGACACAGTGTTAAGAATATGGGCATCGTTCAGCTACGCCTCCACCATTTTAGTACTAAATTTGATTTTCCATTTCAATTTGCACTTGAGCGCTGACCTTCAGTAAAGGTCGCTAATGCAAAAATGTAACATTATAACTCTCTGATAATGCACACAACTAAAAGCACCACCTCAGGCATGTACCAATGCCCCCAAAATGACCAACAACCAAACTTCTTCATCAACCAACCCATAGTTTTTCTTATAATTCTTCTGATCAGCCCCACATTACAACAAAATATTACAAATAAGTCGATGGCCATCAGGACATGCATCTCCAAAAGGAAGAAAGCCTCACTGAGTAACCTTGATTTCTCACTGTCAGACTGCATGATCAATTCCAGCTCCAAGAAATGTGTTCATATGTGGCCTCCGTGAAAAACTGCTTGAGTGTTTGAGTGTCTCATGACTCAGAGCTATAACAGGAACTCCCAATTAAGATCACTGCCGAGTTATAATTACTATCCAACCTCATTAAACATCACTGAGCTGTGGTACTTGAAAGCATTTCAGACAAAACCTCTAAAAGCCCTTCTCAGAAGCTTGCTTCCAAATCGAAAGAATTGTGCTCAGTGCACCACCATTACGAAGTCTTGAAGAATCTGTGTACTACAGTTTTATTGGTCTAACATTTGCAAAAAGTTCATAGAGTAATGGGCTGCATTGCACAACCCTTTAAAGAATGTAGTTCTATTGGTTTATGGGAAAGGGAGGACCAAAACTTGCCTTCAGGTTTATGTGTGCATTTCCCGTGAATAAAGGCTAGCTAGCCACAAAACAATTACAGTCTATCACAAAATAAAGCAAATAAACAGAAAGGTAAGCACTTCTAGGCCTGAGCTCCCACGTTAAGCTGTGACGCTCATGTCGGCAAGTCTTTAATATATTCTCACCAAACATTTGTTTAATTGATCCTTCACAGGGAGCTTGACTGACAAGCGATCTGACCAATCATAATGCAGAATCCACCATTTGCACAGGCAGTCCAACTCCTCCAGGATGGCACATCAATACGTGCCATTGCCAGAAGGTTTGCTGTGTCTCCCAGCACAGTCTCAAGAGCATGGAGGAGATTCCAGGAGACAGGCAGTTATTCGAGGAGAGCTAGACAGGGTCGTAGAAGGTCCTTAACCCATCAGCAGGACCGGTATCTGCTCCTTTGTGCAAGGAGGAACAGGATGAGCACTGCCAGAGCCCTACAAAATGACCTCCAGCAGGCCACTGGTGTGAATGTCTCTGACCAAATAAGCAGAAACAGACTTCTTGAGGGTGGCTTGAGGGCCCGACGTCCTCACTGCCCGGCACCGTGGAGCTCGATTGGCATTTGACATTGAACACCAGAATTGGCAGGTCCGCCACTGGCACCCTGTGCTTTTCACAGATGAGAGCAGGTTCACCCTGAGCACATGTGACATACGTGAAAGGGTCTGGAGAAGCTGTTGAGAACGTTATGCTGCCTGTAACATCGTTCAGCATGACCGGTTTTGGTGGTGGGTCAGTGAAGGTCTGGGGAGGCATATCCATGGAAGGACACACAGACCTCTAAAGGCTAGACAATGGCACCCTGACTGCCATTAGGTATCGGGATGAAATCCTTGGACCTATTGTCAGACCCTACTCTGGTGTAGTGGGTCCTGGGTTCCTCCTGGTGCAAGACAATGCCCGGCCTCATGTGGAGAAAGTATGCAGGCAGTTCCTGGAGGATGAAGGAATT